TTTTCTTCCTTTTAGCTCTTGGCATGAAATGGAACAATTATTCGGTAGTGTTTGGTTTATTTGGTACCAGCTCTTTGTCAATTTTCTCTTACCTCCTCTTTTTTTGGGGGATAGCCCTCAATACTCGTATATTATTATTGTACACTTGGGCGTGCCTAGAGGAAGGTATTCCCGAGGCTCTTCCAAGTGATGCAGATGTGACACATGCACAGGCTGTGCTTATTGTGCTCAATGGCCATGGCGAGAGTGCCACAAAGGTGCTTGATATTAAATCATCGTAAGAAGTTAAATTGTTGCAACTTATGAATTACCTTATTATGAACGAGTATTGATTTTAATGAGTAGAGTGAGAAGAAAGCACAAGTGATAACTGCGGCGAGAATGTGAAAGATGATACGAAGTAAATGGGATTGACTACTCCCTCTATAATATGCTTTGACTTAGTTGTGATAGAAATCATGTAAAATTCATGGTAGACATGATTTAGTCATTTAGAGAGAGGTGCATGAAAGTGATGAAACTATACATTTGCTTAGTCTACCAATCAAAATAAATATTGAGCCGTAAACTACGGGGGATATCTAAATGTATGTCTTCGACAATGACTTTGTAGTAAATCATAGTCACCCAAATATTGGGTACTAGAATTAGATGTCAATGAACTTTTCTTTCATTACCACTAATCTTTTTCTTTTAATGTTTCGGACCAACAATCATTTCTTGGTAATTCCATCGGGATTACTTTCACTAATTTGTCATCCTATCAAGATTACTTTCACTTATGGTAGATTATTTAGCAAAACGAACAAAGTATTAAAGGACAGAGGTAGCATAATTTTTTTACTTGATGCAAACAAAGGTAGCATATCATCGTAACGTTTGTGTCACTGTGTAGAGTTGTAGGTTCTTAGTCCTTAACTTCTTACTATGTGCTTGCTCTTAGATTTTTTTTTTTTTTCTTTTTTTTTTTTTTTTTTTTTTACGAGTACTAATTTACTATTAATTGAATTTCTTAATGGTAATCGGTAAGGGTCAAAGATATTAAAATGCTTGAAAAGATCTCATAGTACTGTACATATGACCAGATGTACGTAATGATGTTTTAGTCACCACCAATAAATAAAGAAAATAGTTGCATGATTGTTTTCAGCAAGAATTGAATGAAGAACACAGTCTTATAACGAATTTAAGCTTTAACTAGTAGTTGGTGTAAACTACAGTAACATTTAAAACAACCTTCCGTTGACCGTTAACAAGATGTTACAGTCAACCATGCTTCTTGATGAGCTGGAGTGTTGCTAGATTTATTTTTCCTTTTTTTTTTTTTTTTTTCCATGGCCCCATATTAGAAGGATAATACGGTATCCAAAATAGATAGTGTTTTTTCGACCTCTATGATGTTGGAGAATCAAATCTAAATTAACAAATTTTAAAATTAATGTACTATTTTATTTTATCACTAAATAGATTACAATTCAACAACATTTTTCATCTTTTTAGCACGAGAATAATAAAATAACATTACAAAGTTTTAATGGAGGTTGACAGTCTGATATTAATTATAAATTAATATGATTACTCTTTAGTAACCTTTTTGAGCCTTTAGAATTTATTGCCAAAAGAATCTATAGGAATGAACTAATAATCTTGACGTCTTCTCATTTGAAGTTGTTGATAATCGAATTTTGACAACCTTATTAGTGGTTTAAGTTTCAAAAATATTGTAACAAAGAAATGAAGTAAGATGGAAAAGGGAAAAGAGTGGAGCAAAACAGACTCGCTTCATATCTATATCCATATAATAAAGTATATTAAGAATAAAGTAAAGTGTATCTACGTGAAATAAATTTGAAGTTTCATCTACGATAACTACCAAAATATAATCGTTGCAGAATTTTGTATTGTATTCATGAATCTTAAGAAATGACAAACTTTGTAATCTATTTGAATCGGATGTATGGATTTGGATATGCATACAATACATGAATAGATGATGCATTATTTTTATTTTAAGAAGAAAAATGTGAATGGGTGAGACAAAAAGGGCCCATGAAAAGAGGAGCGTGGGAAGACTTTTAGGACCCAAATAAATTAATAAATAAATAAAATAATTAAAAAAAAAACAAAAAATAAAAAGTCTTGAAGTTGGACCAGATATTGGCCTACATAAAACAAAAGCCCAATTGAATAGTGTGAAAAGAGGTAGGGCTCACACGTAAGAGAGAGATGTGACGTCGTTTTGAAGCCGATGACAATCAACCACTATAATTTGGTACTCGTATTAGTCGTATTTCGTATATCATCTAAATCTAATGACTACACTCCATGAGCTCAGCTTCGTCGTAATTACTAAGTTACGACTTACGAGTAATGAATTAATTTTACGCGGAGAGTTTGACACTGCCTACATTATGTCATCAATTTCAAAAGCTAAGCTTTGTTTTTATTATAACTTTGCAACCAAGGTGTCTTTGTGTAACATGGTTATGCTTGCCATATACGAAGTATTGTACGTGATCGCGTTTTTTAAAATTTGATTAGCGAATCTTTATTGTAAATTGTTTGCATAGTTTAGATTGATATTTCTTTTGATTTTTAAAAAAAAGCCATTATACTTATTTCCTATTCATAAAAGATGATACTCCGTAGGATATGTTTTTTTAATTTTAAATTATCAATCAACTTAAACACGGACAAAAAGGTACAAGCACATTCTAAATTAAGGATTAAAATAGGAATTCAATAAAAAAAACCCTAACGAGACTATGAGAGACTAATATGTCTTTATAACCTTTATGTTGTGCATGTAACTTTTACTCTATTATCAAATGAACGTACACAATTATGCTAGAAGCTAGGGAAATTACAGCAAAATGCTGGATGAAATTTCCTTTTTTTCGTCGCTTATAGGTTTTAGCTACTTTCACAAACATGTTGGAGCTTTAATTTTAAACAATTTTGGTTGAATGGTTGATTCATGATCTATATTGACATTATAGAACAAAAAACAACGAAACCTAATTATGAAAGGTTAGTATGACTATATGTGTATATATAGAAGAGTTTTTTTTTTTTTAAAAGTCCTATAATCCTATCCATATCATGAATATCAATTATTATAGTCACTTTGATAATTTAATATAATTTTCAACGTTTAATATGTGTGTAGTCATATCAAAATCTAACCCTTCATCATCAAATTATGAAATCATGAGATAATAATATTTTCACATTAAGAGATCAGTACGTACAATAATATTTTCATCCTCAAATCACGTATGTTAAATCACTACGCTATGTCATACTAAAGTCGTATTGCCCGTATGTAGAACCACTATGGCATATAACACCCTTGGTGTCACCATGCTATAAGCCATTGCCGGAGCCGCCGCCAATGTCCCATCAAATCTAGGCATGATATACAAGCTAAGGTAAGTATTATTGTATTACCTAGTCTGGTTCAATGTCATCATCTCTATTCTCTAGTGTGGACTCCTAGTCCTTTGTCTCAAATTTAAGTACCCGAGAATTTCCCACGTGGGGGAATTTCACATTACTTGCATATGCAATTCATTGAAGTTTCAGTTTTTTCTTAAAGAGAGAAGAATGAAGGAGTTTGCTTGAAGAAATGCTTGACTGGCCATTTGACATCAACATTGTATTAGGGGTATTCTTGACTTTATTACAGCTGGCAAGTGGGCAAGTCCAACATTTAAATATAGTCTCATTTTCTTAATTTTATTTTTGACAGGAAATTAAAAAGGCCAATGTTTGTTAATTGAATGTTATTTTGACTTAGTCCCTTGGAGACTTTCACACTGTTAACGAAATTTATTCAATTCATGGTTACAATTCTGTTTTGAATTACTTTTATATAACTTGGATGACTAACGAGGATTATGTTTATGTTTGAATATCACTTGATTTTTTAATTTTAAAGTCAATACAAAATGCGAACAACAATCATCAAGATTATAGTGATTAGATTAATTATTACAGAATGTCACGTATTGTCTATGAATGTGTTGGCTAAAGTATTGATATACTCAAAATTTAAGATTAAATCTCATTTACAATAATGTATTTTCCACCTTTTGCTAAATCAAAAAGAATTATACTATGTAAGTAAGTACGTATTTCAGTAAGCATCTTCAATGTCTAACATTTTAAATATGCATTACATAGTATGATTAGTATGGGATGTTTTCTTACCCCATGGCCCCATCTAATTTTCTTTTGGTAGCCTGGTTCCAGGTTAACAAAATTGTGACTTGATGTGTCAAATGTTTTGCCTCTTTTCCATTCAAAAGGGGTAAAAGACAGTTCTCTTTTTTGAATCATTTTGTACTAAATCAAATTACATGTATTGTCTGATAATCATATCAACATTCGTTTACACTAAATTTTTTCTTCTTAAGTAAAAGTAACCCATAACAAACTTTATTTGTTTTGTTAATAAAAAAGGATAATGATATATATAGCCTATAGGGCATATATAAGCATTAAATATACTTCTTAAAATAGATTAAATTAAGGAAAATGATAAACATAGTCTTTAGGGCTATGTATAAGAAGTTTAAATAATAAATATTAAGGAAAGATAACATTAATTACACCGATCTGTGCGTGATTTTGTCATGAATTTCTAACTTAATTCCATTTTGGGAAGTATATTTAATGCTTATACATAGTTCTACATATATCATTACCCTTAAATTAAAAGTTCATGACAAAATCAAACGCATATCAATGTAGTTAATGTTACTTTATCATTTTCCATAAAAAATCATTAAAAATGTCTCGGTGAGAATCAATTTAGAAGGCCAAATTTTCTAAAGGCAAAGTATGGATAGGAATATTTAAAAATTTAATTATTTATCTGACCAGCCAAGTATGAAAATCAAGGACATGAAAAATGAGTGCTACATATACAAGTATTGTTTTTATTTAAATGGACCCATTGAACAAGGCGCAAGTATATGACCAAGAACAAAGAAAGCGTTGGTACCAAAAATAACTCTTAACTTTTATGCTGCTTCTTCTAATCTTCTTCTAGTCAACCACCAATCACAATTCACAATACAAAGCAAACACCCCTCCATATTTTTTTAGTCATAATTATAAGTATTGAAAATACATAACATTCATTTTTCTCTCTCTTTCCCTCTTTGATTAGAGAGATAAATTCAGGAGAATCAGATGGGAAATTGCTGGGGTTCTCCAGCTGAAACACCCACCACAACTCCTAGCACTACCGGCAACGTTAGTTCAAGTAAATCTCGTCTACATCACTGTCCCTTTATCGACTTTCTGTAATAAATTAAACAATCGAAACAGAGTACTAATTCGATAGATGATTGTATTTGTATATGAACAGGTGTAATAAGCCAGACCACATCATTAACAAGCAGCAGCAATATATCAAGCAAGAGCCAATTTTCGGCATCAAGTGGTGATGATTTGTATCCAAATGGCCAGATTTTGCCTACTCCAAATTTAAGAGAGTATAGTTTTCAAGAAATGAAATCTGCTACTAGAAATTTCAAAGGTGATAATTTATTGGGTGAAGGAGGTTTTGGTCGAGTTTATAAAGGCTGGCTTGAAAATAAGCATCCTCCTAAGAGTGGTAGCGGTTTGGTTGTTGCAATTAAAAAGTTGAATTCTGAAAGTGTTCAAGGTTTCGAAGAATGGCAGGTAATTCATCATCATCTATATCATTCGATTTATTATTAAACCCGATTGTATTGTATTGTTTTTCGTGGGTGTCAACTAGTTTAGTCGTTACATTTTATGTTCCATTGGAGGCTATGATCGAGTTTCGTGTACATTTATGTCTTTTATGCTTATTATAGGACTAAGAAAGCAAACTTTTCAATCTCATCAATGGTTTGTTGCTTTAATAGACAGAAGTGGAGTAGTATGATTAATCACATTAGGAGGTTGAAATATGCCTTTTCTAAAGTCTTGGACAAAGTTATGTTCTGATTAATGGTGTTATTAACGCATTATAGTGGATTAGTAGGTAAAAGTGAACATAATTATTTTAAGATAGGAGAATAAGTACAGATGTAACCACAATAATACATTATTAATGGCACTAATCAATATGGTTCATTCCTAAACTCACAAAGTTTATGAGTGCTCATAGTGGATGGTCAAACTCATAACGTATGTTACTCCGTATTATGGATTTAATATTCACGTGTACTATATTGATTGTATACTTGTAAATAACTTAAGAGACGGAAGATGCTATATTTGAACTGGTATATATAAATTACGAGTAGAATTTAGAAAAAGTTTATTGTCTTTTGTCTAAATTGTTCTGTTACAGAAAAATTTCGATTATCTTTGGCATTGAAGGGCTGTTTTGCGTAAGCGTAACTACTGGGAAAATGAAGCCACATATGTTGACTTGTAATTATGAAAGCCAAATTGTTTGACTAGTATTTTGTGGAATTGTGGCAATTTTCATACGTAATACTAGGGATTTAATTGATGTAACATTAAAAATCAACGGGAATTGCAAGTTATTATATTAAAAGAAATGATTAGAAATCACTAATCCGAGCTTAAAGTCAAAAACATGGCTCTCATTTTCTTATGTGTTGAGGAATTTGATTTTATAGATAAGCTTGATTATGATATGTAAACTTATACGGTACAAGCTATTATTGCGCATGAAATTTATATATTTGTCGGGGTAAGGACTTAGGAGATACATTCATCCATGGAATATCCTAAACGTTTAAAATATTGAAAATTCTACAATTGTCATCCTGAAAATATGTGATTTTTTAGAACATTGGGAGTAATTGCAACTGTTAATGTCATCATTTATCCTACGATGCAGTCAGAAGTAAATTTTTTAGGAAGGCTTTCGCACCCTAATCTTGTCAAATTACTTGGATACTGCTGGGAAGACAAAGAACTGCTGCTTGTATATGAGTTCATGCAAAAAGGGAGTTTAGAAAATCATCTTTTTGGAAGTAAGTTTTTACTCCAAATCTTATTTTGGTAGAAAATGGTTTAGATTGGATAATCATTGTAATCAGATTACTTGAAAAAAAATGTTATGATGTTAATATGTTTGTGCAATATACAGGGGGCTCTGCTGTTCAACCACTTCCTTGGGACTTGCGGCTTAAAATTATCATCGGAGCTGCACGGGGAATTGCCTTCCTACATTCTTCGGATGACCGTGTTATTTATCGTGACATCAAAGCTTCCAATATACTCCTAGACGGCGTAAGTAAATTTATTCTCCGTAGTAAAATATGGTATTACATACTACTATCATACTAGTTTAAGTGTGTTTTCAGGTTTCATATAGAACTGTTTAGGAGAATTTCATTGTGTTTGTAATATAATACGAAGTATGTTATATGAGGAAAAGGGATAGATTTTACTAATTGAACATTTGAACATAGGCACATAGTAGGTTTCACCTAGACACCGTGAATCTCAAACATATGCGAACAACAATTTGATATCAGACAGTTATTTTTTCTTCTCAGTCTTACAATGCAAAGATATCAGACTTTGGCTTAGCAAAATTGGGTCCTTCGGCGAGTCAATCCCATGTCACAACAAGGGTTATGGGCACCTACGGATATGCCGCACCTGAGTACATTGCCACAGGTACTTTTAAACTAGCCTTAGTTTAACAGTACATAGTAATAAAGATCAATTTTTTATGTACAATCTTAACAATGGGTTTGTTTAATAATCAAGTCTAGTTCTAACCAAAAAACATCGTTGTGCTCATAATAGGTCACTTGTATGTCAAGAGTGATGTGTATGGCTTTGGTGTCGTGATAGTCGAACTTTTGACTGGTTTACGAGCACTTGATACAACTCGTCCTACCAACAAGCAAACCTTGGTGGATTGGATCAAACCCCATCTGTCTGATAAAAGGAAGTTGAAGAGTGTAATGGATACTAGGTTGGAGGGAAAGTATCCATCAAAAGCTGCGGTAGCAACTGCTGAACTAGCTCTGTCTTGCCTTGCACACGAACCTAGAGCGCGACCATCAATGCAAGAAGTTTTGGAATCCTTAGTAAAAATCCAAGGCATACCTCATGACAAACCAAGGGTGTCTAGGAGAAACTCAGCAGGTAGTGCAGCTGTTCGTCCTCATCGACATCGTCGACAAAATGGAATTCGATCACAACCCAATTCTCTACAGTCTAGGTAGATTATGTCTCATAAATTGCTTTAACTTGTCATATTTTTTGGCCAAGGCTAATACTCTAAATTAAACTGTTCTTTTAATGATATTACTTCCTGCATTTTATGATGGGATAATACTGAATATATATAGCTAGTTAAGAAAGAGTTTCTGTAATTTGATGTACTGTGTTATACTTCGTATGTATTTGTAATTATTCTTTGTGAATTTAGCTTTCCTTGATATTATTATCACCCATCATTCTTTCTACAAAATATTTTATTTCTTTTTGTGAGTCGAAAAAGTCAAAAAGAACAAGACAGTGTAATATTTGTGATTTTAAGTTGCTTTCAATGTAAAAGATTTATGCTTTGACCAAGTTTATACTAAGCATTAGTGCATTATCTGTCAAATTAAGATTCAACATAGCAACTTCAATCACCATCTTGGGCATCTTCTACAATCAATTATTTTGAAAACTTTGTATATTCAATTTTATATTTAGAGCTTAATCAAAGGTTATCAGCATAATTTGGACTTAAATTAGGATGGACAAGTAATATACTTCAGGAAGAAGGAACTAGTGAAAGTTTTTGTTGGAAGTTGAACAATCACTTAATTTATTTTTGCAAAGCTATATAAAACTATTTTGGATGGAGTCAAGATGGGGTATAATTGCTGTCAAATTAAGCATACAATTGGTTAGAAATTGGGTCTAATACTCTAATTGGTTCGGTTCGTATCAGATAATGGTTTCTACATTATTAACGTTCATGCAGATTGAATGAGTAATTTTTTGTTTTATTAGATCATGCATGCACTTTGACTTTTGTCGGATTGTTGCCAAATCACAGTTAGTTTTTAAATTCCGAGAAATTTTAAAGAAGCTAGTTAACAAATTTAGCCCATCACAAAGGTTAATAAGATTAAGTTTGGGCTTGTGAAACAAAGTTGACAAACCCTTTCTAGGCTACTAATTAAAATTATTGTTAAACCAAAGTAAGCTAAGATCCATAATGGATTATTTGAAACCAATTGAACCGTGCAAGAATCGATCACTTGGAGGTGATGTCAGTTGTTATGAACTACACCTAGCTTAGTTAGGTTTTTTTTCACTTTGTTTACATTCATCGAGTAATATCTTATAAAAACTTCGTAAAGGACTAATTTATACTTTGATTAGTTTTCACTTGAATCATTTCTAATAATCTCAAATTCTCAATAACATTATTCTCTTTAAATCTACTTGTTACGTTGGGATAAAAATGCGTTCTAATCTCAAGATAACACACCATTTACGATTTGCACAACCACATATAAACTGATACCATGTTCATTACTATGATTTCGCTCGTTTTGGTCATATTCAAGTCCTTTTTATATTTTTATTATTATTATACGAAGTGCTTATAATAAATTCAAGCCGGGCCGAAAATCAAATTATCCACTCCTAGCTCCGAACACATTCCAGATTTGGATCGAATAATTCAAATCGGAGATATCAAAAGGGTCAAACTCATACAGTACTCATTTGCACTAAAAAGAAAAGTTATTGCAGGTGAAATTAAAGTGGAAAAAAAAAAAAAAAAGCACGAACTATGTGCTGCAACTAAAAAGATATTTAAAAATAATCAAAATTCTCTCACTTAGAACTCACTCACCATCAGTTTGTTTTCATCATCAGGAAAATTATTAATTCCCAGAAATTTGCAGTTTAATTACTTCATCTTCTTCGTTGCAATTAATATGAACTGATTTTCTCTGTCCTTGATCTCAACGATTTCTCTCTCCTAGCCATGGTTCCTCGTAGACGAAGAATCTCCACTTCTATTATCGCCATTGTTATATTCATCACTCTGGTAATTGTTGATTTTTTTTTTTTTTTTTTTTGATTCGATTTACTGTTAATTTTGTTGAGTTCTTGATTTTTTTTATGTTGATATTTGTGATTGTAATTGAATATGAAGTTTTTGTAACTGTAATTTGTTTAATTTGCTGTTAATTTAGGGCATTTTTATATGTAGCGGTTTTTGATGCAAAGTGTTGAATCAACCTTTCGATTGAAATTGAAATTTCTATAAATTTTTGGTTGTAAATTTTGATTATTGATTGAAATTCATTTCTTATCTTTGATAAAATTGCACAATAACCTTATTAGGATATTTTTATTTTATTTTTTAATTTTTTAATTTCTGCAGTTTATTATACGAAGTGCATGATTTAGATTAGTTCAGTTTACCTATGATTAAGCTGTGTATAACTTTATAAGGAAATTTGCTGCTGAGAACTTGTTTTCGTGTGAGTTGCAATTTTCGTCTATGGATCTTCCTGTTACTTTAGCATATAGATGCACAACTCAACCAATGTTACTCAGATGTTGATAATGAATATTGGAGGTGAGAATACTTGTCAAAATAGACAAGGGCGGGGGTACCATATTGCCGAAACATGTTCTTGACTATGAGACTCTTGCTAGGTTTTTTCAAGTTGCAAACACACATTCATTGATTTCATGTCGACTAGTTTGGTAGGTCTTGTTGAGTTTATGATCTCAAGCCTATTTCTGAGTAGATATCATCACTAACTGTGAGTTTGGATCGAAGTGTTTTTTGCTTGCTTATTGTTGTGAATTAAAAGCTTCTTTGTAAACCCCAAGGAACAATTACATAATCAAATCATATTGGTGTTAATAGCTCTATCTCACCAAGAGTCGGGACTTGAGAGCCATTCGCTTAGATCTAAGATGTGATGTGCATGGTGCATACAGGCTCGAAAAGCTCTCAAATTCATGGTGTCAGCTTGGAGGTGTGAACATCATAGACTTTTGGAGCAAAGGTTTACAAGAATACTTATGAATCATTTTAACATGTATCCTACTAAGAATCATATAATCAAGAGTTCTTTTTTTTTACTCTACTGAATGAGTTAGAAATATTTCTTGAAACTACAAGGAAATAGGGGAACTTGAGGAATGGATAAGGCTATAAATCTATCTTGGAACCATAAAGTATGTATAAGATATGATTTTATCTTAATTGTAAAGCACTTTTCATAACTCCATTACACAAAGGGGCAAAGCGATGCTGGCCTCATTGTCTCAAGCAACTTTTAGACACATAGGCACAACTGTGAGCGTACATGAGGCATCCTGTGCTTATCTTGTTTACATCTGCTCCATTCCTGTCTATTTTTCTGATTTCTCTAATGCTCCTTGAAGAATCGCTCTTTAGATAAGTATGCCTTATCTGCAATGTACCATGTGCCTGCCTTGCTGTTTGCACCTTGGCTTTGAAACCCTATGTGCCTTGTAATGGCTTGTGCTTTCTAAAAGCAAGTTTTGTATTATTTGAAACCTCACTAAGATGCTTTATATCTATTTTTGTTGATTGCCTGCTAATATCTTGTCTTTCAATTATGCAGGTTGTATTCAGTAGAACACTCATCAAAGCTCAGTTACTGTAAGTTGGTTACATTGATGTCATATTTGGTTAGTCTTACTTTTTTTTTTTTTCTCCGGCGTCTCAGTTTTCTTGAAATTTGTAACCTATTATTTCCCAGTCAAAGAGATCGCAGAGGGTACCCTATTCTTTATGATTGTGAACAATGTAACAGAAAAAAGGTTATGTTTCCATCCTTTTCATTATTTTAAGTTTGTATCTTTTTTGTGCATCATCTTACTGTTAATGGTAACAGTGCAGGACCAGGCAACTCCATCATATGCTTCCCCTGATAAATCTGGGAATCTAGATGTTAAGGTATCTACTAGAGCTGGTCTTAGCTAGTCAAGCATAAATTGGAAAATACTTATTTTATTTTTACTATTGCAGGATTTTGACATAATGATGACATACAGTGATGCTTCTGGAGCTGTTAGGGTTGGTTCAGTAAAAGCAAAAGATCTATCTTCTTCATGGGTTTGGAAAACTCCTAGTCACCATGATGACCATATGAAAAATCTTGAGGTACTTTTTCTGAATAGAGAATGAAAAGGTTTTGAGAGCCAGTTGATATATGCTGTTTGATCTGTTCCTGAAACTCAATAACTGTAACTGTCAGGATATGTAAAGTTTTTGTAGTTATTCTGCTAAAATAATAACTTTATTTTTTTCCTGGATTGTGAAAGTTGTTCATTATAGCTGTTACAGACATTGGAGCTATTTCTTTGCAAATGTAAACTGATTGGCAATTTTTACCATTGTTGCCTATTCAGAAATCAAAGGATTTATCTCAGCCTATCACAAAGTACGAAGACAGTACTGAGCATCCTGTTGAGACAAAGCAAAGTACAGAAAGCATTGTCTTCAACACAAAAAGTTATCCAGATGATCCAATTAAGCGTCACCGCCAGGTTCATTTACTGCTTCCATTTTATTATTTATTTTTTCTCACATGCTTGGCGATTTATAATTATTGCTTGCAGATGTTACGTCTTAAAAGAAGGGAGCTCCGTACAGCAGAACTTATGAGGCAAGACAAAGAAATGGATGCAGAGATGGAGAAAGCAGCCATTGAACGTGCTGAGGGGCTGGATACTACTTTCATTGGAAAGTATAGCATTTGGAGGCGCGACTACGATAATTCCAATTCTGATTCTACTTTGAAGCTTATGCGTGATCAAATTATTATGGCAAAAGCATATGCTACCATTGCAAAAACTAAGAATGAGAGCAGTCTTTACGATTCCCTGATGAAGTGCACCAAAGATAGTCTGAGTGCCATCGGTGAAGCAAATTCTGATGCTGATCTTCAGCCAAGGTAATGCTTTATTTTTTGGCATACTTGTCACATGTTTAATAGTCACTAGTCTTTTTCTAATGTAGCAGCTGTTTCTTGCAGTGCCCTGGATCAAGCGAAGGCAATGGGGGGGATTCTCGCAGCAGCAAAAGAGAAATTGCATGATTTTGCTGTTTTGGCTAGGAAGCTAAGAGCCATGATTCAAGTAACTGAAGATAATGTCAATGCTCTGAAGAAGGAGAGCGCATTCTTGATTCAGCTAGCTGCAAAGACGATACCAAAACCTATACATTGCCTTTCTCAACTGCTTACTGCTAATTATTTCATTTCTGGCCGTGCAAACAAAGATGCTAACTTGAAAGATAGGCTTGAGGACCCGTCACTTTACCATTATGCCATCTTTTCAGATAATGTACTTGCTGCAGCAGTAGTAGTGAACTCTACTATTGTGCATGCTAATGAGCCAGAAAAGCATGTTTTCCACATTGTGACGGACAAGTTGAAGGTTTCAGGCATGAAAATGTGGTTTCTTGACAATCCTCCCTCTAGTGCTTCTGTAGAAGTCTTGAACATTGATGATTTTACATGGTTAAATTCTTCTTATTGCCCTGTGCTTCGGCAACTTGAATCTGCTCGAATGAAGGAGTTTTACTTTAAGGTCAATAATAACCCGTCATCTCTTTCAACTGGCACAGACCAACTGAAGTATAGGAACCCAAAATATCTGTCAATGTTGAACCATCTTCGTTTCTATCTTCCAGAAGTATATCCTAAGCTGAATAAAATCTTGTTTTTGGATGATGACATTGTTGTCCAAAAGGACTTGACTCCACTTTGGTCTGTTGATATGAAAGGAATGGTGAATGGTGCTGTTGAGACATGTAAGGAGAGCTTTCATAGGTTTGACAAGTATCTTAACTTCTCTAATCCCTTGATCTCTGAAAATTTTGACCCCAATGCTTGTGGCTGGGCATATGGAATGAACATGTTTGACTTGAAGGAGTGGAGGAAGCGAAACATTACTGGAATATATCATTACTGGCAAGAACTGGTAAGGAATACTTTTTTTCATTGTCCCCACTCTATCTTTTTCCCCTCTTAGAAAATCTATCACTTCTCACTTTCTATCTTAATTTCAACCAGAATCGGGCTTAAATTAAGAGTATCCTGGTCCATGTTGCTATAAATTGATTGCAGATATTGTGTGCTTATTTCTACTTGGAGCTTTTGGTAGTCTATTTTGTGTGAATTTCTAAGGGCATTGATTATTAGTTTTGAGGTCAAGTCTCAGCGATTACTTGGGTCAGTGGAGGGAGCTGCTTACTTGTTTTCACATAAAACTCTACCCTGTGTTTGACTTCGGACTGTCTTTTTTCGATATTGTTTTTAAGAGGAAATAAAGAAGATTTCAATCTGGTCATGCTTTAATATCTTTGATTTATCAAAACCAATGTTAAAACTAAATGCAATTTGTAGCTTTTCTTGTGTGTTTTTGATGGTTCTCCTTTTATTTTCAACTGGAGGTTGTATAATTAGGAGATTTTCATCTCCTTTGTTGTTGTAAATTGGAGTAATAGAGAGGACGAAACTGTGTTAAAGCTATGTTGTGAACTTTATCTGTTGTATTTCTGATCTATTGGCTACTTGCTTTGCAGAATGAGGACAGAACTCTGTGGAAGCTGGGCTCATTGCCGCCTGGACTAATCACTTTCTACAATCTGACCTATCCACTAGATCGAAGCTGGCATGTATTGGGACTTGGATATGACCCTGCACTCAATCAGACTGCAATAGGGAATGCCGCTGTTGTTCATTACAATGGAAATTACAAACCGTGGTTAGATCTTGCCATTGCCAAATACAAGTCATATTGGTCCAGATACGTGATGTATGATAGTCCCTACCTTCGACACTGCAAATTCACCGAATAGTCTCAATATATAGCAGCAGAGCCTATTAGGAGAATACAAAATGATTTATTTATTTATTTATTTTTTATTTTTGCCCACTTTTCCCCTCTTTGGAAATTCTTTTGATTACATAAATACTCATCGTCGTCGACCTCACTTTGTAACATCTTCTGTAAAAGCAAATTAATAGGTTTATATTTTTTCTATTTGTATAGATTCATTTGCTACAAGGAAGAATAAAAGCTAATTGGAAAAAAGAAAAAAAAAAAAAATTTCATTTTTTACATTGCCGATTTGCTTAGCATTCTGTACGTTACTCCGTCTCAGCTAGAAGTGTTCGTGCCAAATTGCCAATCCATGTCCAATTGATAGGATACATCCGGGCATCCGGCATACGGCCAATCTCTGTACTTTTCCTACTTTGCTTCTCTCTTCTCTCTCTCAATCTCTCTCCATTTGTTAATTGTTATGCACTGCAATGCGATTGCGAATTGCATCATTTAATTTGAGATTACCAGAATGGAATTCAAGGATCAAAGAATGTTTATCAAATGGGCATTGGCAAGAAGCAATGTCTTGTTATGTAGGAATGCAGAGATCTGGAGTACAACTTACAGATACTTCTCTCTTCCCTGCCATTATCAAAGCAAGTTCAAAAATTTCCTTCAAACTCGGAGAATCTGTGCATGCTTGTTCAGTGAAGCAGGGGTATGATTCTTTCCCTTCTGTAGGAAACTCAATACTGGATTTTTACATGAAATGGGGTGCCCCAATTTTAGCATTCTCGGTGTTTCGGGGCATGAGAAACAGAGACTCTGTTTCGTGGAACATTGTCATTCATGGGCATCTTGATCAGGGTCTTGTAGAGGACGGTCTCTGGTTTTTTGTGCAGGGGCGAGTTTCGGGTTTTGAACCGAATGTTTCCATCTTGGTTCTTGTAGCTCAAGCGTATCGCATTCTTCTGGATTTTGATGGTGGGAGGAGATTTCATGTTTATGTACTGAAAAGTGGGTTTCTGAGTGTACTGTCTCTGCAAAACTCTCTGATGGGTATGTATGCTGATGATGATATTGGAAATGCACGCCAACTGTTCGATGAAATGTGTGACAGAGATGTTATTTCTTGGAGTATGATGATTGGGGCTTGTGTTCAGAAGGAGGAACCGTTGTTGGCTCTGCAGTTGTTTAAAATTATGGAGGTTGAGCCAGATGGGTTGACCTTGGTCAGTATTCTAAAGGCGTGCAGTAAACTTGAAGATGCTACCACGGGAAGTTCGCTCCATGGGTTCGCCATTTCTAGAGGGCATGATATTGATGTGTTTGTTGCAAACTCTTTGATAGACATGTATTCTAGGTGCTGTGACCCGGCCTCAGCCTTGAGGGTTTTTGACTCGATGGCTGTCAAAAATATTGTGTCCTGGAATTCAGTCTTATTTGGGATGGCTTATAATGGAATGTATCGGGAAGCTTTAGACTTAGCCAATTCCATGGTGCAGGCAAATATTGGAACAGATGAAGTGACACTTGTGAATCTTCTTCAACTATGCAAGCAGTTTACTGATCCATTTCAGTGCAGACAATTACACTGCAGAATATTGAGACATAGGTATGAGTCAAATGCTTTGGTGCTAAATTCTTTAATGGATGCTTATGCCAAATGCAATCTCATTGAGCAATCATGGAAACTGTTTAGCAGAACTGATAAAAAGGATACGGTTATATGGGCCACAATGATTGGGGCATTCGCATATTGTGGTATGCCCGATGAAGCAATTACCGTTTTTGGACAAATGGTCAAAATAGAGGAGGGAATCAATCAAGTAATTGTCTTAAACTTGCTTGAAGCTTGTACAGTTTCAGCTGAACTCAAAACTTGTAAATGGGCACATGGCATTGCCATCAGAAGTAGCTTTGCTGCATATGTATCTGTTGGAACTGCAATTATAGACATGTACTCCAAATGTGGGGCAGTAGAAGAAGCAAAAAAGGCGTTTGATCATATACCCCAGAAAAACATCATGTCATGGAGTACTATGGTATCAGCGTATGGCATGAATGGCCGAGCTGAAGATGCATTAGGGCTAGTAGTTGAAATGAAGCAACATGGTTTCCAACCGAATGCAGTAACAGCACTTTCAGTGTTATCTGCTTGTAGTCATGGCGGACTAATTCAGTCAGGCCTCTCATTCTTCAAAGATATGGTTCAAAATTTGGGGATTCAACCAAGTTTGGAGCATTTTGCTTGTATGATTGATATGTTGAGCAGATCAGGAAAGTTGGATGATGCTATGAAGTTGATCAAAGTTATGCCTGAAAATTTTCAGGGCAAGGCAAGTGTGTGGGGAGCGGTGTTAAGTGCTTGCACTAGGTACAAGAAAGTCGAAGTTGGTGAAGGAGCTGCTTCTCATGTTCTTGAGTTGGAGCCCCTTGGTTCATCTGGTTACATGCTAGCAGCGAGTTTGCATGCTAGTACAGGGTCATGGAGTGATGCAGCAAAGATGAGACGATTAGTTAAGGATAGAGGAGTGAAAATATTGGCTGGTTATAGCCTGGTTCGTGTAGGTGACAAGGCTTTAAGATTTGTAGCAAGGGATAAGTCCACTCCACAGGCAATTGATAGTTGCTGTATTGTCGAGCAGTTACATAGATGTATGCACATTGATGAAGCAGATGATGAAGTAACAGAATAATAAGACTTGCTCAATAATTTATTCACCAAATTCCACTTATCGATGCACATAGTTTTTCACTTTTTAGAAGGTGAGATTACGTAGGTATTTGGTTATCAATTGTTATTTCAACCATGTATTTAGACGTGATAAGATATACAAGTAATTTTTTATTCAAAGTTCAAGAAAAGGAGCGATGACTAGTGGTGGACCAAGGATTGAGGATAAATCAAAGTAGTACTCTCTCTGTCCCATAATACATGACACAGTCAATCATTGCACACATGCCAATGCACTAGTTTGACTTTATTTTTGTATAATTAAATATTAATTAAATATTAATAAAAATTATTATGAAACTTTATATTAAAACCTATCTAACAACATATTTTATGATAAAATATATTTTCATTATGTTAGTAAAAAATTATGGTCAAACCTAATGCATGAATAGTAAAAAAAAGTCAAACGTCTCATGTATTATGGGACGGAGGGAGTAATACAACAGGGGCAGCAAAAGTAATACTCCATAATTGAACAAAATAAATTGAGCTAGATGATAGAGGGAATAAGCAAAAAAATAATACGAGTAGTGATCATAATAGGTTAAGAAGTTATGAAGTTTCGCTTGTCTAGCTTCATTTTGTTAAAATCTTTGGCTTTGTATTTGTTGTCCTCAATTATTAATTTTACAAAAAATTTGCATGCACCGAATGTAGGTGCACCCAAAATTATTAATTGAATGATCTAGACTCATTTCAAAATCTTTAGATGTGCAAAAATTTCGTAACTGTATTAAGAAACAATGCACCTTGTATTGCTATGTATACCCAAATGTATAGATAGTTTTTACTTCCCTTAATTAAGTACGAGAAGGAACCAAGCAAAACTTGATGGGGAACTTACCTTATAATTTAAGGTCACAAGTTCGAGCCCTACTAACTACAAAATGTTTGGGAATAAGGAGATTCCCTTACCTCCCCTCTCAGCTCTCAAGCAATGACCTAGGAAAAAAAAAAAAATTAAGTACGAAGAGGAGTATACGTTTAGTCATGATTAATACTATCAAACCATCCGCGACTCCGCGAGAGCCACGAGGACCGGGAAAAACCAAAAAATTATCAGTTAACAAAGTCTACATCATAGGACAAAATCACAAATGGTGAGACTTAAGAATATGCGTAACATGATACGTTTCTTTTACTGCACAAATTCTAAGACCTTTTGCTTTCACCTTCAATTTACATTGATTTCTCTAGTCTTTACTAACCCCAACAAATTTTGTTCATTTTCAACTGAAAACCTACTTCCTCTTTCATCTTCACTTCCCCTTTCTCTCTCCAAATTCCATTATCAAACTAAATTTGCTTATGTGAGAAATCATCAATGGCGTCATCTTTTAGATTTTTTGTCTCTCTTTTTATGATTCAGGTAAGTTTATTCTTTTTCTAATTTAAACCACTAAGAAAAACAACCAATTTTTGATCTTGCAAGTTGAAAAATCATCATTTCATTTCTGGGGTTTTTTTTTAGCAATTATTATGTGGCAATACTTGATTAAAGTTCTGATGATCATCTGTAACTTGCAGTTGGTTTTTCTGGGTTCTTTGATTACTTTACTCAATGCTGATTCTGGGTCTTCCTTGTTTTCTGATGCTATACTTGGGTAAGTTCAATTTTCTCTTAATTTTTTAATTTTTAATTTTTAATTTGGGTTGTTTGATAAATTATGAAATGATTTATAGTCACAATCTTTTTCAATAATGATTATATTGGGGAGAAAAAAATAAAGGAAATTAGCAGTCTGAAATTTAACTAATCGAATTCTGGAAACTAAAGACTTGATTTTGCTTCGTATGATATAATTTTGGCAATAAATAGATTTTGTTTGAATTGTTGATACAATTTCGTTTGAAAATGACAAGTTCTGGAATAAGTTAATGAAATGGCATAGTTTTCCATGAAAATTGTGAAATGCATGATAGCCAGGTTTATAGTTTCACTTACTCCTTATTTGTTTCCAAGTCACAGTAGAAGTTCATATGAATTATCACTGGAGTAAACTGTACTGTTATTTGTTAGAGCAAGCTTGGAATTACAGGAATAAATATGGAGGTAATAGGCATCATTCAGGTGTTAGACTTTAGAGTAAGGTGGCGGTGTATTGGAGGTAGTGGCGATGGTTGTTCGGACTTTGTGGAGGATTCTAATACACCAAATCAGCAGTTAACTATTACATTTTAAGCCATATGAGTGGGAGGAAAGCCTATTACATTCCCTAACTATTTTACATAACAGTTTGCCTCTCCTAGTAGCTTTTAACTTTCTCATTTTCCGAGTGAGGTGAAATAACTAATTGTTTGATACTTTGATACTCCATACTTTTATTGCCAATTATCTCTCTCCCCTGTAGCTTCATCTGAATTTAGATGTTTGTAGTCATCAGAATTTAGATGTTTGTAGCTTATTTTTGTCAATTTGATGGTTGAAAGGTGAATGACATGATAGCCTTCTTGATACAATTGGTCTCTTGTATTGACTCAGGTGATACATGAAACCTTTTGATAGCTAATCATTTCGGTAAATATAGTCTATCATTCAGAATAGAATAAGACTCAGGTGTTGCATGAAACCTTTTGATATTTAATCTTGAGGTGGTTTTCTTAGAACTCAACAGGTTCCGAACTTTGATTCCCCCAATTAACATTTTCTTACTTGAAAGCAAGTAAGAGATACACATCAAACTGGGGTGTTATAGTTGTGAAGGAGACCATTCTATCAAGAAATCTGCCTCGGAGCTCTTAATTATCATCTCCATCTTTATCTAGTGCTTGCTAATAGGTTATCATCAGCATTCCCTGCAACTTATGTTTGTTTGAAAGGCTGGTTATTACCTTCCATATATTACTCATTTCTTTTTGCGCCAGATAAATGCATAAAATGAAAAGTAAGAAGGTAAGGGGGCATGAAAAGTTGATTTATCTATTTTTTGAGTAGCAATCTTGATTTCTTGACTTGCTAGATTTTAAAAAATGTACTCCCTCAACCAAGAAAAAATGGAAAAGGGAAACATGCATGTGGGCATTTTTACTTTAATGATGAGAGAGATAGAGAGCATGTGTTTTATTAAATATCATTGGTCCCACAAAGTGGGGTTGTATATGATAAAAAATAAATAAATGGTTGCTATTAAAGGTATAAAGTAATAGTGAGTAAAACTTAGAATAAATGAATAATAGATGAAAATGGAAAGTGAGTAGAACTTAGGAAAACGGATGAAGTTTAACATTCTATTACATGTGCTATGGAAAGCATGAAATCTAGAGGAATTTATTACGTGTCAAATCTTAATATCTAGGCTATATAATAAGATGAATGACATAATTTGGGCTCTTGTATCTCCTATTCTACAAGATTTTTGTCACTTGTCTAAGCTCTATATATTTAATTTTTCTCAATTGTTACTGTCTGTGTAAAATTTGTAATTTGGTTTTTTTAACTTTGATTTTTAGGAGAAGACATTCTGAAGAATATTGTGCTATGTATGATATTTGTGGAGAGCGTAGTGATGGGAAAGTTTTAAATTGCCCTTACAGCTCACCTTCAAAAAAGGCATGTTATAAAGTTTATTTTTGTGTAAATTATTTGTACCAACCTTGTTGGACTTTTTAGCTGAAAGCCTTTTGTCATCCTTTGCAGCCTGATGATCTCTTTTCGGCAAAAATCCAGAGTTTGTGTCCTACCATTACTGGTAATGTTTGTTGTACAGAACGTCAATTTGACACGTTGCGGTCACAAGTTCAACAGGTAAATTTTTGTCTGGCACTGCGTTCCAGCAGTTAATATAAAATATGTTAAGAGAAGCTTGTTCCTGTATATGATCTGGACCTGGGAGTGCTAATTGTAGGACTTTAAATTTTCTACTGATATGTTGCTTGTTAGTGTCTTATTTAGTTTACTAGTCGTTTGTCAAAAAGGCTCAGCTTTGGATATTTTATTGCAGGCAATTCCTTTATTGGTGGGTTGCCCAGCTTGCTTGAGGAACTTCCTGAATCTTTTTTGCGAGCTTTCATGCTCGCCAAACCAGAGTTTATTTATTAATGTTACATCCATTGGCGAGGTTAGTATCACAAGTTTATTAATCTCTTAGAGCTGCTCTATAGTTTCAATGTCTACATGCATTTGTGCAGTTTGTTTCATGAAAGATCTGTGGTTTAATCTTCAGCCTTCTTCCTCTGGAGGGAGATATTATGCTTTATAAGATATTAATATTCACTGGAGCATGTTCTTTGTACCTTGGAGGTGTAACAGCTGTTTGCCTCGAAGGTGAAGAAGATTAACACTATCATTATAGATTAAGTTTTAACTATATTGCAGGTAAACGGAAACTTGACTGTGGATGGCATTGAATATTATGTATCTGAAGATTTTGGTGAAGGTTTATATAACTCTTGCAAGGATGTAAAATTCGGTAGTATGAACACAAGAGCCATAGATTTTGTTGGGGCTGGTGCAAAAAGTTATAAAGGTGAGGTTGATGAAATACTGTTAGCTTAATTTTTATCCAGTTGTTCAATTTGTAAACTTGCCCTTCCTCTCTGTATCGTGTGGGCCTAGTTACATTTTCTAATGTGTTTTCATATAGTTCTTTACTTCTTTACATCCTAACTAAGTAAACCTCTCAAAGTAACATCCTCTTTTTTCTCCATCCATACCACATTATTTATGAGCTTTGGGATCTGTTACCCAAATGCTGTAAGTCTTATCTAAGCTTTGCACACAGGATAAAGGGTGTAGCCTTTTTGCCTGATTACTAAAGAGTGAAAAAAATATGTGTATATATAAAGATTACCGGAAACATATCCTTATTGTATAGCAAACTCTTCAGTGTCCACAACTGACCAACTGTCCACCAACATTTAGTAGTGTTATTTTCTTACTTTAGGCAGTGGCTGTGAAGCTAAATAGAGCAGACTTGGTTCTTGTTTTAGGACCTGAAAAAGAAAGTAATTTTATGAGAATCCTTTTTCCTGTTCTCCATGTTGCTATTGTGTCTTACTTTGTGTGAGAAGGGGGACTTAATCCCTTTGGATCACCTATGAAGGAACCGTATAACAGAGAATTGGGGGAATACACTACTAATGCCCTTTTTTTATTTATTATTTATAAACAGTATATACCTTAGTATTGATAGAAGAGATTGGGATTTAGCCATTTGTTGGGGCTTCTATTGACCAAGCATGCTCATCTGTGTTACTAGTATCTTTTTCCCCTTTCAATATTATATTTGGAAGTTAAAAACATACTTTTGGCCCTGTTTGGTTTGATGTAAAACATATTCAATGAAAAATTAGTTTTCATAAAAAACAAATTTTCAAGGAAAACCACAATTGCAAATTGGTTTTCCTTTGTTTGGTTCCTTACAAGAAAGTTAAAGAAAAAATAAAAAATAGAAGTGGAAATGTAAGGAAGGATGAGAGGAAAGTAAAAAGGAGGTAAGGAAGGAGGAAAATGGGGCTTCCCTTGTTTTGTAAAGGAAAATGTTTTCCACCATTAAGGATGCGATTTTCCACCATTGGCAAAATGATTTTCCACTTGTTTACAAGCCAAACAAAGGAAAATAGGAAAAAAAAAAAAAAAAAAAAAAAAAAAAAAACGGCTAAATTATTTTCCTTGAAAACATTTTACATCAAACCAAACGGGGCTTTTTTGGGAAAGCTTTTTCTGTTAAGAGAATACTTACTAAACTATATAATTTTCAGAATGGTTTGCCTTCATTGGTCAGAGGGCTGGATCCGGCATGCCTGGATCTCCATATTCCATCAATTTTCAGACTAGCGCTCCTGAATCATCTGGAATACAGATTATGGATGTTTCTACCTACTCCTGCAATGACACTTCGCTGGGCTGCTCATGTGGTGATTGTCCTTCATCACCTGTGTGCTCAAGTTCAGAACCTCCTCATTCACAGACAAAGGATTCCTGCTCAGTTAGGCTGGGTTCATTTGAGGTCCAAATTGATATTAAAACAATGACCCTAGCTTTACTTTTTTCATTGAATCAATTGATCAAGCTTTCATATTTACTACTTTGGGTGTTTTGCCACCGGTGAAGTTATTGTGACCGACTCTGTTATTTAATACATGCATCATTTTGACTTTTATGTTTGCCAATGCACAAAGTTAACCATTTATTACTTAGAAATATATATTGTTATAAAAAGATGATCTTTTATAATTATACATCAAGATCACACAATAATTATAATAGTGACATTTATAAACACCAAAATGATGCATGTATTGAGAAACGGAAGAAGTATATATTGTTTATTTTACCTTCTGGCTCATATAGATTTGGTAATTAATAATACTTGCAGGTGAAATGCATTGACTTGTCAATGGCCATCGTCTATATTCTGTTAGTTTCTGCTTTTCTTGGATGGGGGTTCTTTTACCGTAGAACAGAAAGAACTGGTCTTGCATCTACTACGACGCCTTTGTTGAGTAAAGTAGATTCCTTTGGTGAGGCAAATGATGACACCCCTAACGTGAAGGTTAATTCCGACCATTTGTCTATACTACTTTTCACTGGGGACTGGGGAAACCTTTTCACCTCTAACTACTTTTGAGCATTATTATCAAATTCTAGCTGCTTACAGCCTTCCATAACTGTAGTAGTGTAGAACTGTAGATCAATATGTTTGTGCCTAATTTCATGGTTACTTATAAGGTGGAGTTTGATGCGGTTTTCTTTCCCTTTTTTTTGCTATTTGGTTAACTGACATTATTGTTATAGCAGTAATTTGCTTGTCTTTGATCTGTAAGTAGTTATGTGTCCAGTCCATCAGCTTAAATTGTTTTATTTTTTAACTCTGCATTTCATACCATATCTGCATGGTCAAAATTTTTTCCTTTTGTATAATCTGCCATACTATACCATACTTTTTTTCTTGATACTTGATTCTTTTCCAAGCGTTATCTTGTAATTTAGTAGCTTTAATAATTATTTTCTTATATCGTGCTCATTGTCTATGACTAGGATACTGAGAAAGCGCTGCAGTCTCAGTCTACTGTTCAAGGATTTATGATTGATGCTTTTAGGTTAGCAATGCGGATAATTTTTTTCCACCCTGAACAGTCAAGGCATATATATCATTGATTCAACTATTTCATTATGAACCTATTGCAGGAAATATGGACTTTGGGTTGCAAGGAATCCTACCCTTGTGCTGTGCTCCTCTGTCGCCGTAGTTCTTATACTTTGCTTGGGTTTACTACGTTTCAAGGTCGAGACTCGACCTGAGAAGGTATGTTATTCTCTCTCTCTTTTTAAACTTTGTGTTCTTCCTCTTTATATTAGTCATACAGAATCCCAAATTATATTCTGGATTAGTTTATTAAGGAGGCTGAATATGTACGAAAGCATAGCACAATTTCACTCTTAACCTTTTTTCTTTTCTAATTTTTGCATATCTATTCATACATCTCTCTTAACAGCTTCCTAGTTACAAGGTTTTTTTTTTTTGGGAGAACGTTACAAGAATTTCGGTGGCTTAAGAAAACATGTTAATTGCTTTGTATATTATTTTTATTATTGTCTGTATTGGCAACATCATAATTTTCTTTAGATGCTTCTTTTGTTCTAGTTATGGGTTGGTCCTGGAAGCAAGGCAGCAGAAGAGAAGCACTTTTTTGACACTCACTTAGCTCCTTTCTATAGAATTGAACAGGTATGAGACATTGAGACCTCTGTTTTATATTGTGGCAGACTTGTAGTAGTATTAGAGACATGTAAACGTATATATGCACCTTGTTTTCTATCTTTATGGTTTACTTAGTCATTCCTTAATTCACAAACCTGATAGAATTAAAATAACTATGCATCATGTAATGTGTCTGTTCTGCTTGGAGAGACATTGGATTCATGCTGAATTTTCATTGAGTACCTGGCACCAGAAATTGGTTTTTTTTTTTTCCTCTTTCATGCTTAGGATATAGAAACTCTGCGTATCAGAGGATACAATACTACTTTGGAAAATTTATAGTGCAACTTAAGGGTTTAGAATTGGCATTTACATTTGCAAACTGAAGTTGAATGGTTCACTATTTTCAGCTTATATTGGCAACCAGGCCAGATCCGCAAAATGGGAAATCTTCCAGTATAGTAACAGAGGATAATATACAGTTGCTTTTTGATATACAACAGAAGGTATAAATGACTTTTAGTTGCAGTTTGCATACCTATTAAGATGTCTATTAGTGTATCTCACTCTCTCTTGATGTTTTCGATTAACTTTTTTGCTTCAGGTTGATGAACTGAAAGTGAATTATTCAGGATCAATGGTGTCTTTGTCTGATATTTGTTTGAAACCTCTAGGGGAGGATTGTGCCATCCAGAGTATCCTTCAGGTTGATTGAAAACTTTAATTATAATGTGTCATGTTTTGCCACTGATATATATCATCCATCACATTCAGACATTATCAATTTGCTTATTTATCATTTGGCTTGGAATTCTGGATCCTTTAAACTTGATGTAGGGTCTCTATTTCAGCATTGCTGTGCATCTCTTCACTTTACTAGATATAATACAACTATTTTTTTATGTAACTTCCATCTTATCTTTCTATATGATAGTATTTCCAGATGGATCCTGACAATTATGATGAATTTGGAGGAATCCAGCATCTTTTGTATTGCTTTCAGGTATTCACTTTGTGAACCCCCTTGTAGTTGTAATCTTTTGGTATTGTTTGCAGAGGGTATGGCCAAGTGGTTGCATTTGCTACTCAAGCAGTGGAATTTTCTATTTTAAGAATATTACATTTGCTTAATTTGTTGAAAGTGCCTGAAGACTCTGGGTGAAATTATGAAAAAATGTCACTGTTTCTACCTTTAACATACTGAACATATATTAACACTTCTTTGGGGCATGACGACATGTATCCTGTCACAGCATTTTACATCCACTGACTCATGTTTGAGCGCTTTTAAAGCACCCCTTGACCCCAGCATTGCCTTAGGGGGATTTTCCGGGAATAATTATTCTGAGGTAATTTCTTTATCAACTCTTAACATTGCTGAACTGAAGGTATAATAGACTGATCGTTTGTTGTTCAAATGTCAGGCTTCTGCATTTGTGGTAACTTACCCAGTCACTAATATGGTTGATGAGTCAAGTGATGCAAATGGGAAAGCTGTGAAATGGGAAAGGGCTTTCATTAAACTGGCCAAGGTCTGACCATTAGCTCCTTTTTACAGCATTAGAAGTCTCTCTTCAGCTTACATTTTCTTCTCATGTAAAAGGTCCATAGTTTAGAAATATCTTTAGCGGAATTTGAGATAGAAGGGAAAAAACGTTAAAAATAGTACTATTTTTTTCCACATATGCTCAAGTTTATACCATGTACTATAGTACTGGTTGAATTTCTGCTTAACATATCTGAGGTTGCAAGCTTTGACTCTTGATCCATTTCCCATTACAGGAGGAACTGTTACCTATGGTGCAGTCTAGCAATCTCACTTTATCTTTTTCTTCTGAAAGCTCAATTGAAAATGAACTAAAACGAGAGAGCAGTGCTGATGTTATAACAATTTTAGTAAGTTCTTCAGATATCAAAATTTTCCTTGTGAACTTTGGATATTTTACGAAAATTATATCATTTAAGAAAAACGGGGTTGTGACTAACTTGTTTTGCAATTTGTTTAATCTGTATCAGATAAGCTATCTTGTGATGTTTGCTTATATATCACTTACTCTGGGAGACAAACCACATTTGTCCTCTTTTTACATTTCATCCAAGGTATGCATTCAATTGTAAATTTTTAGTTAGTCCCATAAATTACACTAGCATAATACCTTTAATTCTCCAATATCTGAATTGTCATTATTATACAACACAACCGAAGGTCCTTTTAACTTTTTAGCTTCATTGGAGGGGTTTTGTGAACACTTCATGCTTTTTGTCCACAATGTCCATAATAAAATCCTCAATGTCCATATCCATGTTGAGTGTCAAGTATCCAACATGGGTACTGGAGGGCAAGCAAAGATTTTGGTTAACATAGGTTGTGCATAGAGTCTGGTGAACTAAATACTAGCAAGTAATTTGATTTTTGTTACTATTACAGGCTTTACTTGGACTTTCAGGAGTTGTGGTTGTTATATTGTCTGTTCTTGGCTCAGTTGGTTTCTTCAGCGCCTTCGGAGTGAAGTCAACTTTAATAATAATGGAAGTCATCCCCTTTCTTGTTTTGGCTGTAAGTTGACTGATCATTTGATATATAAATATGATATGCTTTGGATTCACAACGTGTGTCTGAGTGTTTGTTTATCTTCTCATCTTCATTGTTTCTTCTTGGAAGTAAATTTATGTATGACTACCACTATATGATTTGTTAGTGTCTGTTATTCTTTTAAGGTTGAGTACAGTAAAAATCAAAATTATGATACATGTATATGACAATTCTGGATGTTGATGATGATATATTCCAATTGATCATCATGAATTCATTTGACAAGGGATGCAATCTACAGGTTTGCATAGATAATTGAAGCATTATCTTGCATTGTACTGTGAAAGGATGAATCAAAATGCCATTTATCTGGCAAAATGTTGCTTTCTTGTTGAGCATAATCATGTTAATAATTTCAATATAGTTGTCATGAAGTAATTTGAACCCTTAACTTTGTGTCATTAAGTCTTTATCATTTGGATGGAGAGACAAAATGAATCTTGTCATTTGTATCATCAAGCGTTTGTAATTGTAATAGACTAACCTAAGGAGGGGTAGTATGGGTATTCTAGTAATATTACTTAACTAGTACTAGGTTAATAGTCCTAAGTATAAATAGAGAGGGAGGGGAAAGAAAATGTTTAGCAGAAACTTGTGTTTAAGTGAAACCTGCTGTAGACTAGATAATCGGGTTTGCTTGAATGTAACAGTAAACGATTATAGAGGAAAGCTTAGGATATTTGATTGATATTTGTAAATAACGGCTACAAGGAAACTGAGGCCTAAGCTTAAAGCTTGACCCTTTGGAGAATACTACAACTACTACTACTACTCTACTACTATCTTCACCAACAACATGAATCCTACTATTGCATTGCTACCTCTTATATATCAAGCTCTCCCTCACACAAAAGTACCCTAAAAATTAAAGAACTTTGTCATGTACTGCCAAGGTGGCTTTCACCCACAAAATCAGTTGCCACACTCCTTAGTGGATTATTAAAACTTTTTGTCTTCTTGCTGCTACCAACTACTGCTGCTGCTGCTCTTGTCTTTTGGTCTTGTGCTAGTGCCTTCTCTCATAAACCCGGATTGGTTGTTGCTCGAGTGGACCGACCGGATTCATAGCAAAACCTTTGAGAGTCATGGCCTCAAGCCATTGTTAGTGAGTGATAGCCTCAAGCTATTATGAGAGTGATAGTTTAAAGCTATTAACCCTATCATTTTGTAACCCTTCCACCACTGTCAATCAATATTAAAGCTTCCACCTTTATTAATTGCTAGTTACAATCTGAATTTCCAAGTCTGAAAACCTGCCTATAACAACTTGCATTGCTGTTATATTGGTTTTGTTGTGTGACTGATCTGAGTCCATTGCAGTAATCTGTATATTGGCAGTCAATTTGGTGTGAAAATTTACTCCAGATAAATGTATATAGCTTTGTAGCATTCTTGTCTCATGTTGGATTATAGGTTCATGATATACTCTTGTTTACTATATTTCGATCTTCACAATTTTTATTTTCATCTATGCAAATGTTCTGTCATGATTTTCCAACCTATTGTCATTTACTACGCATCTTTCTATGATGCCTGAATTGATAGTAAAATCTACTTTTACATAGGCTTTGTCTATTTCAGGATAGCCTTTGTTGTTTACATACCTTGTTGCAAATTTTTGATCTTCCATGTGCTTATAATGCTAACATTTCTTTTCTATTTACTTTCCTTTACCTTCATGGTTTAAGGGTGTAAAGTGCTCTCTACATAATTTATGCATTTAGTCTCTCAATCTTTTGTTGACAGGTTGGAGTTGATAACATGTGCATATTGGTACATGCTGCAAAACGGCAGTCAATTGAAATATCCTTAGAAGAACGAATAAGCAATGCCCTTGTTGAAGTTGGTCCCTCCATAACACTTGCTAGTTTATCTGAGGTGTTGGCATTTGCAGTGGGAGCTTTTATCACTATGCCAGCATGCCGTGTTTTTTCTATGTTTGCAGGTTTGATTGGTTCTGATTTAATTATTTTAAATTTTTATTTAGTCTGTAAGTTAATTTGTTCAATTGATCGATACAACTGTGTCCATCTCTGTAGCTTTGGCCGTCTTTCTGGACTTTCTTCTTCAACTCAGTGCTTTTGTTGCACTAATAGTTTTGGACTTCAAGAGAGCTGAAGACTTCAGAATTGACTGTTTCCCATGCATAAGAATTTCATCAGCATCTGTGGAATTAAACAGAGGTTCAAAAAGATCAATTCAATTGCATTTCTGATTCGACTGTTGATTAAATTATTCTCTAAATGACGGGTTTGGTCTGTTATTTGCATTCATCGTATAATTGAGCTGATGTATGTATTTATATGTATGACACAGAGATTCATCAGAGACCTCCAGGACTGCTTACTCGATATATGAAGGTATGCTTAAAAATTAGAGGAGAGGCTACAAGTATGCAAAGCTTTGATGTGCTAGAGAGGCTTTAAGTATTATGGTGTCTGTGTCCCCTACTTGGCATCCCCTTCACCCTCCATATATAAAAGAAAAGAAAAACATATGGGATTTGCCTGCTTTGTGGATCTGTATATTATTGAACTTTCCTATTTTTTATGTCCTCCAAGATTCCGTTGTGGAATTGAGCACAACCTGTATACTTACATGATGACAGATCCTTGGTCTTTGTAGTTAATAGATATTTGTCTTATGTAGATTTTTAATTTTTGGAAGTTGAAATGATCATCAAAGTAACTCAATATCGTTTAAACACTCTAGCAAACGGCTTCCTTTCTTTCATGTGATTGTTTTTTTTTTTTTTTTTTTTTTTTTGAGGAAATGATTGTATTTTGCTTTCTTCAGTGCAGTTTGTCAAGTTTGATGATTGAACTTTGATTGCAGACATTGATGATATAACAACTTCATTTCATAGTTGCCTTTGGCTTTAGCTCTTGTCAATTTGCAGAAGCTAACAATTTAGATTATTTGAAGAGACTTGTCGGGGATAATATTTATTTTTGAAAGTCCCTTCTATCATTCTGCAGGAAATTCATGCACCCATTCTTTTACATCGTGGAGTTAAAGTACTTATTCTTGCTCTATTTTCTGGTTTGGCTTTAGCAGGCATCGTAAGTTGTACTCATCAAAATTTCAATTTCTAAGTTGATTGAAGTTGTGAACTACGCATCCATCTACCTGCAACTTCATTTGAAATATTCTATAACATTTCTATTCTTTTCTGTGTAGGCTTTGTGCCCCAGGATTGAGCCAGGTTTAGAGCAACAGATTGCTCTTCCTCGGGATTCATATCTTCAGGTCTTTCTGTGCTTATCAAGTTCCTTGATGTTTTATGTTATCTTATCCCACTGCCTACTTTTCCTGGTCTCACTAGTTCACTTGTGGTTGCAGGGCTATTTTAATAATATTTCAGAGCATCTCAGAGTTGGACCTCCCCTGTATTTTGTTGTAAAGGATTATAACTACAGGTATTTGTTATGTTTCTCATTAGGCATGTACTCATGCACTAGAACATATTTCATGGAGAAGTTTTCAATTTTCCTATATCAGCGGATTTTTTGGGGCTTTTATTTAAATAGATTTAAATAAACAGAACCATTTTCAACATTACAACAGTCAAATCATCTTTCTTTTCCAAACTGCATGAAGTTACCCCCACAGAATGAGGCTGCACACAACCCATTTCAGACAAAGCTGAGCCTCAGAGAGTTCAGAGATAGAACCCAAGAAGGAGAGCAGATAATAGCCTTTTTCTCCTCATGAAGTGAATTATAATTGCTTCACAGACTATAATCCTTTTCTAAAGGACACCTTCTGCTAGAATCCCTCTTTGGTTGTTGCTTATGAAGAATTTAATGCTTTAGGAGGTGCTTTTGTCATCCCATAATCATTATTTACTTTAATTTTTCTGAGAAACTTACAAAAACCTTTGAGAGAAAATGATCCACTCATATTAATTGCTATATCTCGTCATTCCCCTCAAGGTTAACCACAGTCCACAGCGGAGGAAAACCTTCCAAGAGAAGGCCCGTTAACCACTAGTTATCCTTGAGAAGTTGAGAACAACTGTGAACTTTAATACATGCAACCCTTCTATGATGGATTTCTTGGGATATTGGAAAGTTACCTGTTATAGGATTAAGGCTTTGATTGATTGATTGGAAAGTTACCTGTTAGGCTTTCTAAAAATTAGAAACAGTGTCGCTATTGTATATGATGGTACCTCAGCTTATAATTTTTAGTTAATAGAGAGTCACCGTCTCAAGTTTCAAGTGACAATGCATTATGCTAACAATGGATGCTTGACAAACTATTAATTGGTATCTAGGACTCGAGGCTGAATGCTAATCACCTTTGTAAGTGATATCTTAGTTTAGTAATATATATTTCAATGAAAGATTACCTTTCTATTTGCTATATTCTAATTAGCATAGTATGTTTTATGTAAATTTTCATAAAGATGTATGTTTCATATATTTGCAGTTCTAATTCAAGGCATACAAATCAATTGTGTTCAATTAGCAAGTGTGACTCGAATTCTCTTCTAAATGAGGTAACTTTTCAACTTAAGTCTTTGGTAGAATATACTTCGTATTTAGCATATTGGCAGGTGTCCTCAGGTTAAGCTTAGCTATGTTTTTAGCAAAATTTTTTTATTTTATTTTTTACTTTTTTTATGTAGATGTGATACTAACTGCTTTTATAATATTGAAATTGATGCAATATGAAAGTTTTAATGTGTGCTTCTTGCATATGAAACTTCTTCCCCCTTGTCATTTTCTTTTTATTCAGCTTGGATAGGTGAAATCCCCATTTCCTTTTGCTGATTTTGTGTTGTCTCCACCTTTTTAATAGTGTGCTTCATTAAAGTGTGTTTTTACTTCTATTGATATTCATCATTATGGCTACACCCTCTGCATATATGTTTGCTGATCTGTTTTAACATGCACTTTTTGCCTAAATCCAACGTACTTTATTACCACTTTTCTGTTCTGCTTACTTTATTATGTGTTCTTTCATAGTTACCATGTTGCTTTAACAAATGGATTTAGTGGTTAAATGGTTGCAGATATCAAGAGCATCTTTGACACCAGAATCTAGCTACATTGCAAAGCCAGCAGCCTCATGGCTTGATGATTTTCTAGTGTGGCTATCACCTGAAGCTTTTGGTTGTTGCCGAAAGTTTGTTAATGGTAGCTATTGCCCTCCTGATGATCAGGTTGGTGTTTCTTTCAAACCACCCTTCTCCCACACCCCCCCCCCCCAACCAAAATGGCCACAAAAGTATTTAGGTTTGCGTCAAATTGACATCAAGCGACTGGCTTTTAGGTTTTCACCAATTGGAGAATCTGTTGGCAGAGAGAAGGCTAAACTTAAGTCATAAAGTAATGAGTGTGTAGATCCACAAAGTTGATATTCTAGACATTAGACTTAGATTAGTAAATATTTTTATTTTATAATTGAGAGCAGACAACCTCATAAATACTCAACTTGTTCTTGTACAATGGGGAATGCATTTCTTAGGAAGGATTTGTCAATAAAATTGATTTTGCTTCTAGTTGTTTCTTTTACTAGTATTTCTTATTAATGTATCTTAATTTGCTCTCCAGCCTCCATGCTGTTCACCTGACGAAGGGCCTTGTGGTTATGGGGGAGTTTGCAAAGATTGTACTACAGTAATGAAGTTTTTCTTTATGCCTAATAAAAATTAATTGCCAATTTCTTTAGTCATAAATTATTTTACCAAGTGTACTAGTATGAACTTAACATGTTGAATTTCTTGCAGTGCTTTCGCCACTCAGAACTTCACAACGATCGTCCTTCTACTACACAGTTTAGAGAAAAGCTCCCGTGGTTCCTCGATGCATTGCCTTCTGCTGATTGTGCTAAGGGGGGTCATGGAGCCTACTCTACTAGTCTGGACTTGAATGGTCTACTATTCTCTCTTCCTTTCTTCCTAGTCACCTTTGCCATCTACTATGCATGATTTGTGAAATGTCTCTCAAATTATAAGTTCCAGGATTGAAAATCTGTTTGTTGAAACCTGAACCAGGTTATGAGAGCGGTGTTATTAGAGCATCTGAGTTTCGAACGTATCACACACCAGTCAACAGACAGGTTAGTTCATGTCTACAGTGTGACATAACTGATAGTTTCTTGGCCTAATAGGGCATTTGTAATTGTCAAGATCCCTCAAGCCATTTGATTCATTTTCAATGACAGAGTGACTACGTTAATGCACTCCGTGCTGCCCGTCAGTTCAGCTCAAAAATTTCTGATTCGCTGGAGGTATAAACATACATTTTTATTTTATTTTTGGTTTTCTTCTTTCTCCTTTAGTCCTTCAGGGATAGAATGACATCCTCTTTATGTAAAAAGCTTCATTGTGGGGAAAATTTTTCATCTTTGTGTTTCTCATGGTATTACTGGATGTATGATAATTTTGCAGATGGATATCTTTCCATATTCAGTCTTCTACATATATTTTGAGCAATATCTGGACATTTGGAGAACTGCTGTCATCAACCTAGCTATTGCCCTTGGTTAGTATTTTAAAAGTGCTTCTAAAAGCTTTTGGCTTTATTATTAACATAAATCTTGTCACCTTGTGGAATAGTATCACAAGTTTATACATCCCTCTCTTCATTTGTTTCTCTCTGAATTGCAATATGAATATGGAGTTGCGAAGCTTATACTTTCCTTGTTAACTATTATAAATGTTGTTGTCAGCAAATCAAATTTGAGAAAGACACTTAATGATTATCAACCTGAAACAAATTTTATATGCTTTGGATATTTTTCTCTATTGGCTGATGTCTTAGTCTCTTGTTGGTCTTTCTCTAATACCAACTATAGAGATCTATATTCTATACTATTTGGTATTCGATATAAGAGGTCATATTGAGAGTTAAATTATTAGCAATGTAAACAATCACGTATACACACATCAACACATGAAAGTAAGGATAAGGCAAAAAGTCTTACTTCCAGGGCCAAAAAAAAAAAAGAAAGAAATGATTTAGATGTTATTATATTAAAAACCTATTACTTATAGACTTCTAATCGATGGTCTTATATAATTGAAAAGTTTAGTGTTTCATTTCTTTGATTATGTTGTTTTAGTCCTCTCATTCAGTTTATATGCATATGGCCTTAGTTTAGACATCACACAGTGCTTCTCAAGAATTACTCAGTGATGTGTCAATTGTTACCACAGGTGCTGTTTTCATTGTGTGCCTATTCATAACTTCCAGGTAAGAAGCCTGAAATCCCTGCACTTTTGGTCCTTTCTGCCTATTTATGCAAGTATTCAACTTTCTTCCTTTCATAAGGCTCATTGCACATTATTTTTGTAATTTATTTTTTTCAACTGCAGTTTGTGGAGTTCAGCCATCATTTTGCTTGTTCTGGCCATGATAGTGGTGGATCTCATGGTATAATATACTAATATTGCCTTAGAAATTAACAGTCTTGAAATCCTACATTGTTCTCTTACATGCACGTGAAAATTTTGTTTTGCTATACTTGGTCTTCTGAAGTTTCTATAACTTGGATTGTTAAAGCTTGTGGGCTGTGTTGCAGTATGTTAATGGTTAGAATCTGTAAGCCCACTTGTGGAGTTGCATCATTGTTGACTTAATTACTTCATAAACTAAACCAACACTGGCATTATCTTTATCAAAAGGACTTGAATGCTTTGCTTATTTTAGGTGTTAAAGCCAGTATTCAGATATTCATATGTTTTTTTCTGAACTAACTTTTGATATTTACTTACCCCATATCTGTTATATGATGGAAAATGCAGGGTGTTATGGCTATCCTGGGTATCCAACTGAATGCTGTATCTGTTGTCAATCTTATCATGTCAATAGGAATTGCTGTTGAGTTCTGTGTTCATATAACACATGCATTTTCGGTAAATTTCTCAGAATATTTGTTCTTATGGTGATTGACCCTTCTAAAACTAGTTAAATTGAATTAGGAAGGCTCACGGATTCAGTTTCCTCCCTTCATAGTTTTCCATATTTTTTTTTATGATTCTCAAGTAGCTGGATTATATTCAGGTCAGCCACGGTGACAGAAACCAGCGAGCAAAGGAGGCGCTTGGTACCATGGGAGCTTCTGTTTTCAGGTAAAACGCTCCTGTATTTATCTTTTTTTTTTTTTTTTTTTTTTTTTTGGACATTTCATGTCAATGACTTGTAATCGTTCATGGGTATTGGACATTCCTCAGTCAGCCTCACATGCATCACCTTTTTTTGTATTCTGTGATTCCTTTATTACTAATTACTAGAATACATCATATGATCATATTAAGCCAAATATAGATATGACTTATGACTTTATGAGCTCTCAACCATTGATTAAAGTCAAATCTCTTGTCGTTACACAAATTCTTCTACTTGATACCTATTTTTGCTTCTTTTGCAGTGGAATCACATTGACTAAGCTGGTTGGAGTTATCGTACTATGCTTTGCAAGATCAGAGATTTTTGTGGTCTATCATCTATCTGTGATCTATCGCTATTCCATTTTATGAAATGGGTGACAACCTGATGAATGATCATATAACTGTATGTATATACATATTTGCAGGTTTATTACTTTCAAATGTACTTGGCATTAGTTATCATTGGTTTCCTGCACGGGCTCATCTTTTTGCCTGTAAGTTGCAGTCTTCTCAATCCTTTCATACAACCTCTGCTGCATACTTAACTATCTAATTTGCAGGTATTGCTAAGTCTGATTGGCCCACCTGCCTGTGGACAGAATGTTAGATGCTCACAGTCGATCTAATTGGATATCTGTTATATAGACTGTGCTTTCATTTTAGCAAGAGAACCTTGATTAGCAGTTGCTCATACTTTTCTAACCTATCTCTTAGCGTGGCCATTGCGAACTACTAGGATTTTAGGATTCTAGCTGCTGCTCCATCATTAAATGAAAACTCACCTAACTAATATGCTCTACTTTGCACATTGTGGATCTTGTATTGATGGAGAGAACTATTAATTTTGTAAATAATTTGCTTGTACTTAAAGCAACATGGACTAGTATCAGTAGTATGTATGACTCATTATGGTATCTGTTATAATATAATTCAGATACTGTATCTCGAAGGCAAACAATATTTTACCATGCACTGAGAGTTCTAATTACTGCCTGCATCCCCCCTCCGCGCGTGCCCCGCCCCCTCCCGTTTTCATTTATGAATTTCCTGTAAACTTTTATAACATGTTTAAGTCTATATTAGTAAATATTCATTTTTGTATCATTAGGTGTTTATTTTTTTTAACAAGGAGTTTCTTTGTTCAAATTAATATATTTTCTAAATTGTATTTTTAAAAATGAGAACAAATTTATTAATAAGGATTACTGCATTGAAATCATTTTAATAGAAGGAAGTATTGCATCACCAAACGTTCATTTTTGTTTATTCATATATCAACAGATGTTCATTTTTATATCATCAAATGTTCATTTCAAGAGCTATGTAATATAGTGAGATGTATGCAAATACATTACGTCTTAGAATTATATTTATTTAAATAAAACATTGTTAAAAAATAATTTCCAACATAAAATAAATTAAATCTAATTACAATAATAATAAATTTCCATATTATTACGTGCAACTGTTTCATAAACATGAAAGTGAACCATTTAATCCTAAATGTACATATGTGTTTTGTAAAATGAACATTCTTTGTTACATTTGGTATATATAATAAAGTGTGTATAGACATATATCCTCCTTGTTCCAAATTTAATCATATGATATTTGTGTATCTTTCATAAAAAATACATAATATGAGCACAATATATATCACTCTCAACTTCCTTACTTGAGTATCCAGTACAATAAGAGATCAAGCTATTTTTTTTTTATAAGAAAATAATAACAACGATGAACATATACCAAACAAAAGTATGTGAAATCTAAGGATTCAAAATTGAACATTTACGCATAAAAAACGATTACGAATTCAAAAATGAACACACTTATTAGATATCTTTCAATACGAAAATGAAAAAGTGTATAAAATTTAAATGAACATGTATTAAATTCTAAATGAACATTTATATATTATTATGAAAAGAACATATATCAAAATCCAAATTAATATCTAGTAATATGTAAATGACCATTAATTAATAATCCAATATGTCAAAATACAACTTAATATATGTATTGATATTATGTGAATGAAATACCACAAGATTATATTAGATTTTAGGAAAATTTGAAAAATACCACCAACAATTGTTCAAAACTTTAAAAATTACCACCTGTTTTCCCAACTCCTCTATAGTGACGTCATAGTGGGCCCCACTCTTCAATTTTCCTCCTTTTCCCCTTCTCTTCTTTCGATTCTCACCTTTGTTTTTCCCTCTTCTTCCCTTTCTCTACTTAATTTGCGAAAAAATTGCGATTGATGCGGCAATTAGGGTTTTAATTCACCATTTTTACTCATGCCAAACAACAATGCAACACCGATTTCATAATTATGTTATTAAAAGGTGAAAATAGAGGTGAGAATCGAGAGAAGTGAAAGGGAAAAGGAGGGAAATTGAATAGTGAGGCCCACTATGACGTCATTGGGCAAAAAGGTGGTAATTTTTAAGGTATTGTAGAATAGTTGGTGGTAAAATAAAATAAAATAAAATAAAACTGTTGGTGGTTATGTAAAAAAATGAGTATAATTGTTTGTGGTATTTTTCAAATTTTCCTATACTTTACAATAGAAACATTGAAGGTCTACGATGAATGAACAATATGTGATTTATTTTTGAACATTTTCTAATATGTGAATGAACATACATTAACATATGTGTGAATATACATATATCCAAATGAACAACTATGTATCAATATTCAAATAAAAATCTATCAATTTTAGAGTTAAAATGTATGTAGTATATTATGCAAATGACGCTTATGAGCATACATAAATTTAATATGAAGTTGAACATATATATTTATAGTCAATGTGAATATCTTCAATATAAGAATGAACATGTACGTAATTAAATTCAAACGAACATTTGTTTAAATCCCAGTAAACACATTAATATGTGAATGATCATAAACAAAACTAGGGTAGTCTTCAGAACCCTAATCTAAGGTAAGAATGTGAATTATCATATATTAATATCATAATCAACATTTATCAAAATGAAAATGAACATTCATCAAAAATAATTTTCACTACGAAATAAATTTATAATTCTATAATCCTACGAAATATGTCAAATTATCCTGAAAATTAGGACATTTAAACTCTGTTTTCAAGTTTTTTATGTCAAACAATTTTTTAATCTAATCATTCTATAAATGAACATGAAGTTCTTCTAAAATAAACATTTATATTAAATTTACTAGCCGAAATTCACCGAGTAACAATTTAATTCACAAATAGAGTTAACATCACAATCAAGCCCTCAATTCTTACATTTTTCACTCTTTGGGTACTCTAACCCAAAATCTGGCCAACTAACTCACCGTTAACCAAAGGTAATTAACTATTAATAAAATTTAATAAAAAAAAATGCATTAATTAAAGTAATCAGTTTTTTAAAACGAGTTCACAGCAGCCAAAAAAAGCCATAAAAATATCCCTGCAAACCCAAAAAAAAAAACCATAACGTACAGTAAGCCAAAATTCAGAGCAAAATTTCCCTAAAAAAAAAAAAATTCAGATCAAGAATTCCAGAAAAATCAGCCAAGCTTGTTCCCTTTTGCGTTGAAGACCTGCAAAGAGCAAAATCAAGTTAGGATTATGGACTTCTGCCACTGTAACAAAAGAGTGTTGCATAGAGTTTCAAGAACAACCAAACATCAATTCATGAGGTTCAAGATATGTAAGAATTACACATGCTTCAATGGATGCAATTATTTTGAATGGGTTGACATGACTCATCCAATAGAATTGAGGAGTGAAATGGTGGTGATGATTAACAGCAAAATGAAAATGGAACAGGACATGCTCAATTTGAAGAAGAAGATTCAATATTAAAGCCTTGTAATCATTTTGCTGATTAGTATTGTTGTTGGATTGAGTGTGTGAGGTGTACCTTAGCTTCATAGTCTTGTAATTGTTTCAGTTGATGTAGTTGCTGCAGCATTAGGGGTTTTCCTTTTAGCTTGAGCTTGTATTTGCTGCTGCATTGAATATGTACTAAATTAATTTTATTTGAATGAATAAAGAAGCAAATTTAAACAACAACTACAACGGCAAAATAGACATATGCATATGAGACACAAAGTTTTGAGGTAATTTCTCAAGAATGGAGTCATTGCATTGGGCTATGTAAGGTCCGAAAAGAACTTGGCGGATCCTTTGACGAAAGGGTTAGCAAGAAAACAAGTTGAAGAATCATCGAGGGGAATAGGACTCAAGGCCATGTGATACATTACATTTGTCCTAGTTCCTATGGTGATAATGTTTGTAATGTTTGTTTGTTTGTGAGGTTGAATTGTTTAACTCTTAATGGGTCCTTATGCTATTGAGACACACGTAAAAGGACTCACCTGTGTGGTTGCGCAGACTAGCCATCTTCTATGAAAACTTTGGCCGGTTTTCTAGAGCCTCCACTAGACCTAAGGTGAATATGCTTGGCCATAAAAGAGCATATCTCTTCGCGGAGTTTGTGTAAATTTTGGAGTGATGTATGTGTTGTGGGGGTCTTGAGTTAAGTCTTGGAGTTTCAAGGTTAGTCCACTCCATGATCAAGAGTCTAAGGGTTTCAAGGTATTATCCACCCTTGTACTTGTAGCTCATTGCCTCATTTCACTAAGCACTAAGATTTCAAATTACTTATGTAATATCTAAGTGTTATGTATTAAACTCCTCTTATGCCCAATATGTTGCTTATCCTCATCTTTTTTTGGCTTTCTTCCTTTTCTTTAGTGGGGGATTGTTGGAATAAAGAAAGGAAATTCAAAAAAGTCTGATCCGGGCCCGACCTGACGAGCATCGCTCGACCGGGCGAGAGAAGAGTCGTAATTTTCGGGAGCTTTGTCGCCCGATTGGGCGAGCTCCGCCCGACCGGGCGCAAGAGCAACCCAGATTTTGACTGGGTGCTCGCCCGACCGGGCGCAAGAGTACGTCTGGAAAAAGAGGAGTGTCCGCCCGACCGGACGCGAGAGCAACCCAGATTTTGTCTGGGTGCTCGCCCGACCGGGCGCGGACTCGTCTGTTGGACTCCAACGGCTTCCTTGGATTCTTCTTCTTGTTTGATTTCTTGTAACCCCCCATTTAAGAGGTTGTTTATGGTGATTAATTCACTATGTTTATTCTGATTTTATTCCTCCATTGATGATAATATTCCTCTATGATCTTCTATCTTCCTCCATCCATCATTATAAATTGAAGGATGATTTTTCTGATTATATACTTAAAAAAATATTCAGACACAAGCTGAACTCCTTTGTTCTTTGGGCATAAGTTTTCATAGTCTCCACCTCTTACTCTAAAGTGCCTTAGTGTGAGAGTGGTGTGTAACCTTAGGGGACAATCCGGCGATTACAATTGTGCACCCCAGTTGGACAAGAATTCGTTTTCAAAGACAATTATTCATCACGCCACACCGAATTTCCTCTTTTACTTTGTTCTTGTTTATTTCTGTTGACTTTTGTTTTAGACACCATTTTTACAACAAACAACGTACCCCTGAAACATTGATATACATTCAAGAACCATTAGGACACTTGTTAATGTAGATTGTAGAATCTTCTGAGTTTCATTTCAGTGTTTTAATGTTAATTACTTATATAATAATTTTTGTCAAATATTTATCGAAATAAAAAGAAAAAAAAAAGTTAAATTAGGGAGAATTTGGAGAAATAAAATTATTTGTTGATGTTATGGTAAAAGGCTACTACCGCTATAATACACCCTTTTGATTTGGCAATCGTTCGAATTCTACTAGACTACAAAAAAAAAGTTTGTATAAAAAAGTACAATCAATCAATCATCAATCAATAACTATATACTAAAAGACACACCAGTAATGACACGTGTCATTTTCTGGTGTGTCCCTTAGGTTTGTTTTTTTTTTTTTTTTTTCTTTTTTAAATCTATTTAGGAAACAAATCTTAAACAAAAAATAAAGTATAACAAACTTTTACATAAATAAAAGATTTGATGTATCGTTGACAACTATA